ACTTGGGGGGGGGGTGGGCCGCTCTGAGCAGGAGGCTGTCCATGCCACCTGCCCCTGTGGCATTGCAGTCACCGATGGGAGATTAGGAATGTGGTCGGAAACCAAACCTGACTGTAAACAGGGGGACAAGGCCTCTCTCTTATTGTCACCCCAAGCCTCCCGAGCTGGCGCCACCCCCAGCTAGATTGGGGGCCCCCCTTGCTGAGTGGGGTGTGCACGGGGGCAGGCAGGACACTTGGAAATACTGGTGTTTGATTTGCTTGGCTCTGGGAACAGCAGTGTCTGTGTCCTAGCTGGCCTGGCTCAGTGGATAGAGCGCCGGCCTGAGGACTGAAGGGTCCCAGTTCAATTCCCGTCAAGGGCACAGGCCCAGGTTGCGGGCTCCATCCCCAGTGGGGGGCGTGCAGGAGGCAGCCAATCCCTGATTCCCTCTCATCATGGATGTTTCTCTCTCTCTCTCCTTTCCCTTCAATAAAAATATAAAAAATTAAATTAAACATAAAAAGCGGGGCCTGGAAGTCGTGTGGAGCCGTGTTTCTCACTGTGGGCGGCGCCCGGGACCCCCCCGGAGACCTAGCGGAGCGCCAGGTCTGAGCCAGCGGGTCAGAGGGGCCGAGGCCGCTGCTTTCCCATGGCTCCCAGGCGGCCGGGCAGGAAGCCACTGGGGAGAGCTCAGTCCCACATTCCATCTGAGATGACTCTCCCCTGCCCTCTCCTCAGTGTCATCCGGAGACCTGCCGGCCCGCTCCTCCCCCTTCTCCCCTGCAAGCTGACTCCTGAACGGACGCCCAGAGCTCTCCCCGGAGGACCGGCTGCGGAAGGTAGGAAGGAGGCAATGCGCTCTCCTCTCCCCTCTCCCCCGCCCCCTGCGGCTGCGGGCTGGGAGGTCAACATCTGCTCTGACACGGTCCACGTGAGAGGACTTCCCCAGGACGGACACGCTGTCCACGTGAGGACTTCCCCAGGACGGACACGCTGTCCACGTGAGGACTTCCCCAGGACGGACACGCTGTCCACGTGAGGACTTCCCCAGGACGGACACGCTGTCCACGTGAGGACTTCCCCAGGACGGACACGCTGTCCACGTGAGGACTTCCCCAGGACGGACACGCTGTCCACGTGAGGACTTCCCCAGGACGGACACGCTGTCCACGTGAGGACTTCCCCAGGACGGACACGCTGTCCACGTGAGGACTTCCCCAGGACGGACACGCTGTCCACGTGAGGACTTCCCCAGGACGGACACGCTGTCCACGTGAGGACTTCCCCAGGACGGACACGCTGTCCACGTGAGGACTTCCCCAGGACGGACACGCTGTCCACGTGAGGACTTCCCCAGGACGGACACGCTGTCCACGTGAGGACTTCCCCAGGACGGACACGCTGTCCACGTGAGGACTTCCCCAGGACGGACACGCTGTCCACGTGAGGACTTCCCCAGGACGGACACGCTGTCCACGTGAGGACTTCCCCAGGACGGACACGCTGTCCACGTGAGGACTTCCCCAGGACGGACACGCTGTTCCCGGGGTGGTGAGAACTTTCCCAGAACGGACACGCTGTTCCCGGGATGGAAGTGTGTGTGGACGCGTCTAACGACCATGGTATTCCGTGTCGGTCACTGACCCCTCCTTTGCGGTGCCCCCCAGTTCGGAGGAGTCGGTGGGGACAGCTACACGCTAGTGCTTACGGCTGAGAGTTTTCGTAACTCCCTTTTAAAAATCCGTAACTGGGGCCCGGCCCGTTCGGTTCCCGGTCAGGGCATATGCCTGGGTTGCGGCAGCCAATCGATGATTCTCTCTCATCATGATGTTTCTCTCTCTCTCTCCCTCTCCCTTCCTCTCCGGAGTCAACAAAAGTATATCAATCCTCGCTGGTGTGGCTCAGCAGATAGAGCGTCGGCCTGTGGACTAAAGGGTCCCAGGTTCGATTCCAGCCAAGGGCACACGCCTGGGTTGCGGGCTTGATTCCCCCCTCCCCGTCCCAGGCGGGGGACGGGCAGGAGGCAGCCAATCAATGAATCTCTCTCATCATTGATGTTTCTATCTCTCTGTCTCTCTCCCTTCCTCTCTGAAATCAATTTAAAAAAATAAAAAGGCAAAACTTAAAATATATATATATATTAAAAAACAAACGCAAAAACTAAAAAAATAAAAAACACACCACACACACTAAAAACCCTGCAACTGGAGCCCTAGCCAGTTTGCTCAGTGGTTAGCGTGCCGGCCCCCTCAAATTGAAAGACAGAGAAAGAGAGAGAGAAGCATTGATGTAAGCGAGACACATCGATGGGTGGCCTGACCAGGGCCAGGGATCGAGCCTACCGTGCCCTTGACCAGAATTGAACCCGGGACCCTTCAGCCCGCGGGCCGACACTCCATCCACTGAGCCACACCGGCCAGGGCGGCCCAGGTCCTCATCCTAGTGTCTGCTCTCGGGGAGCCCTGAACAGACAAAAGGGATCGCGGGCCGCCCCTGCCTCCCCCCAGATGCGTGAAGCTATCCTGGAACTCATCCGCACTTTGGATTCCTTATTCCAGCCAAGCGTTTGGGGGCCCCCGGTCCCCACAGGAGAGACCCGTGGGGACCGGGGACACCCGGGGAGAATGATCCGAGCTCCATCCACTTACGCTCTGGTCCTTGTCGTCGCTCCTCATGTGCCGGGCGATGAAGCTGACGCCCTCCAGCGCCTCCTGCACGTCCCGCGGGAACCTCCCCGACGCCGCCCGCTGCCGGAAATCCCCGGGG